ACTCGGGACCTTATATTCAGCAGGAGCATTATGCTGAGCGAGATGGTCTACGGATCGCGCCGCTGGTCCTTGGGCAAGAGTTTTGCGGCTTGAAGCAGCGACTGCCCCGCGGACAGATCTCCCAGCATGTGCTACTCCTCCGGCCACATTGGTAACAACGATGGCGACAACTGCAACGAAAATGCGAAGTGTCAAAAGAATTCGTTATTGTTGTAATGCGGAGCGAAACGGGATACTCATGCTTTGTTTTATATATTATCAGTATGGTTCTGTGCTTTCGGTATCTAACGGGACACACCGAAAACTAATCACTGAGCCCATTATTTCAATATTGAAGAAAATCAAACATACTTTAATTGGTGTTGTCCCAGAATAAGGGAAAAGGATCATGTTTCACGGAAAGAAACATTTAGTCATTGCTTTATTGTTTGTCGATCCGGTACACGGGTTCTAGTGAACCATCCCGAGGCTGCTTCTTTCTTCGGAAACCACGCCCATCGTTCCGTTTCCTTTTCGCGTCAGTGTGGGAACATTATTCAAGCACTCGGTTCACGCACACGTTTTACGGAGGAAGAGGAATTCAGTGTCCGTGTTCTGATTTTTTTCGACATAAGCACCTATAAACACCGACATTTTTAAGAGATCAAAAATTGATAACGAAAAACACCGAATCTAAAAGAAAACGCGCGCACACACACATATAAAAAATACGCCTAATCCTGGGAAAAACAAAACACAGTAAATACGAAGAAGCAATTATTAGACTAGGAGGATTCCCTGCTAAGTGCATGGGCAGACTTCGAGCCCACACCATAAGTTTTGAATTGGTGCATGGCGCAATCGCTGTGGCTTGCCAGACGTCCTTCTTCGGTTCGACACGTAAAACCCCTTTAGATATAGATATTTGACTTTGGTTGTTTTGGAAAACGAAGGGAGTGGCTTGGTATATGTTCGCGGTTCTTGTGTGATCGTTGATTCTTAGGAGTTCTTAGCAGTGAATGCCGCCACCTGATTACGTGCGAATCAATAATATAAAAAAGTAAGCGGGGCTCACCACGTCGTGCGTTTCGCAAGCTGTCCGCGACTGTATAGGAGTGCTAATCACTGGGTGTAATGAATACAACCTAAAACACCAGGCCAGCGCATGAAGACATTGCTAGTGGCACCCTACCCGCCAGAAGTAGCGAATAAGGTGAAGCCTCGACAAGAATCGCCACTCGTTGTGAGACCTAGCAGTACGCTCTGGCGGCGATGCTGCTGGAACGAAGGCAAGCGCTGATTGGATTTACGAGTGATGACGCCTTAAGGGGAAATGATGTATGCCTTGACTTCAGCGTGGTATCGGTGTGATGCTAAATACCCGAAACAATTATTTTCAATGCGGTCTAATAAGAGTGATTTTGCAATCGAGCATCTACAACAAACTAAGCGACGGAACATTCACACTTTTAGTTTGAGCTCCAAATTATACAAGGCGCTTGGAAGAGAATGTCCGAGAAGCTGCGTTCCGGCTCACCGAATAAGATGGCGAGGGCCTTTGCAGCGCTGTTCATTGTCGGCTTTAAGGTCGGCAACCTAAAATGAGAAAGACAGACTGGGTGCAAAGGGAATTCGTTGTCAATTGCTGATGCTTTGACACAAATTCAAAGATTATCTATAAAGATTTACAAAATGAACTTTAATCACGTGGTTTAAGTATAAATTCCGAGTATTTCTATCAGTTGTCAGTGCAACCTGAGATCCTCGGATCACCGTAACATAAGCGAGCGTTCGAGTGATCTTTTTAAGTTCGTGGCGTTAATACTCTGGTGCAAGACTATAATATGGATTCTGCTATAGGAAACTTGCCTAACTGAACCTGACAGGACTAACTCAAAATAAAAGAAGTGACATGGTGTTTTATTTAGAACCAGTACCAATGACTTCTTAACAAAGAACGATTGGATATTTCTGTGAGGGCAGTGATTGAAATAATATTGTCATTGAATTTCGTTTAACATGAGCAGTTTCCTGTAAATGCTCAGGGCAGTCATGGCAATAGCATCGATAGCTTATGGTATTCGAATGAATATATTGTTTATATTGAACGTGAATGTATCTCGTATTTATGTATATTGCACCTCACATAGAGAGACCTTCCCCAATGTCTGCTCAAAGCTTAGAACACCATGACGCCATATACTTCTAGTAAAGTGGTTAGTTGGGCGAGTTGGTAATGATGGAACATGGTTAAAATTGCGCAATTTTAACCATGTTCAGCCATATACTTGGACATCATGTGACTGTGACGTCACGGCGACACGTGGCACCTTAACGTTCGATACGAAAGAATCTACGTGCGATCGAGGCAGGGTCTTGATTTATATCTTACATAACAAGCCGCCCCTGTTCGGAATACCTAAATGCTCTACCTGGGAAAAAAACGTTTGTGTGCCACTTCTATATAGTCAATTAATAGCTATGAATAGTGTTTTACATGTTCTCTTTTTGTGCAGCGTACTTCACGCAATCTGTATGGAAGCTCCAAGTGAGATATTTACAACTGCATTTGAAATTGATTTTATGTTTTAGTAATAATGTAAGTTATGTAAATTTCTTTAGGATCATGGCAACATTGATCTATCCTGTAAGTAATATATTCGTTATCGTCTCTCAGAAACATTTTATTTTCTGGCAAAAGTTCACTCAAAGGAATAGCAATTTATATATTAGAGAAAACAAAGTGGTCCCTCCACAAATACGAATTTCGACCACGACAGAGCAACATCTACTATAACCACATTTTCGCAGAAAACAACAATATAGCCGCTGAGTTTGTCCCAGCACTATAGTACCCCCATATTGCATGTAACTAGAAAAAAGGGCAGGGTAAAGGAAACCCTGGTCCCTTTATGCATGTAACAAGCAGAGATAACTTCAGAATGACTATTATAATTATTGCCGCATGACTTACCGCAGTGATGATCAGATACGTATTCTTTATGTGTAAAAAGTAAGCTTTGATATGAAAGGTGCAGAATCGCATTCTTATTTATACCCCCTGCAAAAAGCGGCACATGTTCTGACAGCTGCATTTTTTTTAAACAAAAGGCGTGCGCCATTGCAGAATTCCCGGCAAATAACAGAACGGTTTTAAACACAGAAAAGATTTTTTTTTTGCGATTATACTCTGTTGAAAAAATTCTGTTTGATTATTAAAAAATAAATATATAAAAAAATGTAGGCCACGTTAGGCACGTGAGCTCCCACGTGACAAACCATCCTTCAGAGTGAATGTGAGGTAATACCTGCTAGTAATGACTAAAAGTAAAGGAAGGTTTCCAATTTTTTAATTCGTCATTTGCTCACTCTGGTAGAAAAAGTTAAGAATAACGCCAGTTTCTTTCCTTAAAAAAAAATCTGGGGTTATGTCCGAACAACAGACGTGGGCGAATACGAGTCTATCTCTCGTTATATCTCCATGGAATATCGACACAATATAAAAGTTAGCCTAAATGTCCAGTTATTGAAATCTCCGCATGCACAAGTTGGAAATGATTCACACTATCTCTAATGTATTCAAAATGTTCTTCAATCAGATTATCAAAGAGCAATGATGTAGAAGTTTATTTAAACTTTGCCATATACCCGAAAAAAGGTACCTAACGGCGAATTCACAAGAGGTTCTCAATCATGTGACTAACAAACTCGCGCTTTAATAACGGGAACCAAACAAGAAAAGTTTCACTCACGCGAGACCTTAGCTGGACGGACCGCCTAAAGTCAAGCTGTGATGCAATCACTATCATATAGTTGAGGTTAGTAACATTGAATTATCACACGGGCACCACTGTCAAATGTTTTCATACCGCTCAGAAATTAGACCAGGCCATGTAACTACGAGGGAGTTAGAGAAGATACGCAAGTCAATGCAACATATGTAGGATTGTTCATTAAGAGAAATAAAAATATTAACGAAGTGATAAAACAAAATCAATTAAAAGCACTAGTACAAGAAAACACGACTCGGGGATAAACGGGATAAAAATAGAAGAAATGGTCAAGTATTATTGGACATTGCCTTTCCGGAGCACGTATGGCGGTTACATAGACGGGAGAGCTTCATCGCCGACTAAATCTCGAGACAAGCCGTACTTGGTGACAGACGGCCTCGATCCTTTCATTGCAGGAGGCCAGGGATGGTTGTTCTGATCTTCAAGTGCTACAATCTCTTCTCGATCATGCTAAATAAATGAACTAGGGTTCGCACCGTAGTTCGCGGTTCTCATGTCGGCTACACTTTTTCCTACTATCTTCCGCCTAAGCAGGGGGCTTCAACATATTTTTGCCAAGACAAAAAGCTGGTGCACGCTACGCCTGTTAGACCGGTGCAGTATTTTCACATTTATATTGAGCATGTGAAGAATTTTTCCGATCTACCAAACTGACCAATTAACAAAACAACAAAACTTGCGACTAATGTTACTATACTTTCAATTCGCTAGCGGACAGTTATATGGACCTTTTTAAAGTTTTCACAGCGTTTTTCTAGAGCCTAAAATCAGTAGACACAATGCGGCTATCATGATTAAAATGATGGAATGAGATGTCTTTCAGCATCTTCAATATAAGAGTTGTACCAACACTTATATTGGAAATTTCGCACACAAACAATATTTTAGAAGTTAACTAAATAATTTGGCATTTATCCTTTTCTGCATATACCCAAAAGCATCTTGAGTCGCTCAATCGGGGTGTGTGGGTTGTAGGTTGGACAAGCTTAGCACGCACATGCTTACTTTTTTTCGTGGCCGAATTTAGATAAAACACTTTGTATATCTTACTTAAAACGGCAAGAAGCGCCATATTAAGGCAAACTGACGACGCCCTAATACCCATTACTGCAGAACATTTATTGCACACGCCTTTAACATTCTAGTCAAGATGTCTAAAGAAACCCGCTCGGTGAAGTACAAGTTAGAGTCCCTGCTTTTCAACTATGATAATATCAAACATCAAGTTTACCATTTTATATACGTCATTTTGAAAACGTAGGCTTTTCGAATCATATCTGTTAGTATTAAAAAAACCTCAGATGAATTGCACCTCCAATTTGTGCAATTTGAGTTATGTTTCCTATCATAGGTTCTTGGATGAAACTCTAATTACAAGATAGTTTGTTGCAGTCGGTGCGGGCGCTTTCAAGGCTAAAATAGCTTAGTTCGCCTGGAACATATTTTGGTTTCCCGTTTGTAATTGTATAAACCGCGAACTGGAGGGATATCACTAAATAAAAAGCTTTCCGTCGCCACAAACGTATTTTCGAGAATATATAGCAGGAGTTCTATCACAGCTGCATGAATAATACCGTAATGACAGCAGATGTTACAAAGCAAACCATATGTATCCTTAACTTGTTTTCGTTTCGTCCCGGCATCGTTAAAAATAAGCTTCGTCAGCACTAATTACAAAGCGACGGATAAGCAAAAACATATTGAGTTGGAGTCATCGCAACGCGCAGTAAAATAAAGCCTTACTTTTGTTATTTTGCTCTCATTAAACCTTCTCAAATGTTTTGCTGATGACAGTTAAATTAACCATCAAAGAAAAATATATTTTTAGCCGAATTCATTTTACTATTATCCTACGTGCTTATTCATATCCTACAAAATGGTGCACATAGGCCAATAAAGAACATAACAACCCGAGGAAGGAGAAAAACAAAACCTATGAGGAAAGGATGACACACATCGAGGCCCTTTCATAGGTTCAGTTATGCCAACATTTCACCAGCTTGCCTGCGCACTCACCTTGCTTCCAGAAGAACCATTGTTTTTTGTTTAGCGCATAGTTCAAGATCCACAAGTTCTGATAATTTATCTTTTCAAATAGTGATTTTTGTATGCTCCTTTTCAAATGTCTGTTACCTACCAGAATCCAAAATTAGAGACTTCAAGCGATGATGAACAGTCTTTTTTGAACACGATAGTAATGACATTCTCTGCAAGCGTTACAGTTAAACCCAAAAGTACCATTGCCCGAAACAGCGGGACTTTGTTTTGTATTTTTATTAAGAATGTAAACGTAGCATTCCTCACACTCTGTATTTCAAACTGCCGAAGCACATCTCACCTCTCTCCTCAAGACTCAGTTTCAATTAGCTCACAAATGACGTTTGAACTGTTCTTTAACTTTTTTATAATATGTAAAGTTTTCAATCGCTATAGAGCCGTCCTATGCTAAACTTTATTCCACTTTATATCTTACCATAGCCAACGCAACATCTACATAAAGCAAATCAACCAGAGCGAAAAGTGCATTTTCATGGCGCTTGTCGCTCTAATGTGTTTGCACTCATTGTTTAAAACCTATCACACAAAAAAATGGCAGCGACCTTTACCTTTAAAATTCTATAATGAATAAAATGGATTATAGTAAGTAACTGGCTGTGTTTGGGCTTGTTGCAAAATACTATAATAGGGCCAGCTGAACGTAAGAAAATAGAATGTTGAGAGGCAAGAGGAAATAGAAAATAGAGAGGACAGACAGACCAGCAGTACGTCTTTCCCCTTTTCACTCTATATTCTATTTTCCTACGTTAAACTGGCCCTATATTAGGCATATAGACCATTTTATTTTTTGAATTTTCCCGCTAAATGTAGCGGGGAAGTACATTCGTGTATAGTTCGCGTGAAGTCAGATTAAGTGACATCATTTTCCCGCAAAATTTAGTGGGAAAACTGAATTCATGTCTGGGTCAGCCCGCTCATCCAATCTAGCGGGAGACTCAAAAGGTGTAGGGGTCACGTGACATCAATTTTCCCAACGAATGTTGCGGGGAAACTGAAGGTCGATACGTTACACGACATTAACCTTTCCTTTAAACTTAGCGTGGAAACTGAATTGGCACATAGGTCCCATGACGTCAGCTCACCCGGCATCATCGAAACTGCATTGTTGAATAGGTCACAGATGACTTCAATTTCTCCCGGTAAATTTGGAAGGAAATGCGCGGACGGTCGGACAAAATTGTGGGACCGGGGTGGGGGGGGGGGGGGGGGAAATGTTAAAATGCATTTCTGCTTTCAAAGTATACGGCATTTCGGCGCGTTCATGGCACGGCATTGGTTTATACCCGTTTTCACCTCAAGAAAAAAGGACGTTTTGCTCCATGTTCATACGCCGCACGAAGTACTTCTTACAATACTTGGTTGTCGGATGTAGAAGCGATGCTTTTGGCGTTTGAAACGTGTACGTCTTGATAAGGTAACTTGTATCTAATATAAAATGCACCAACATATATCTCAATTCTCAGCGTAAAGAGGAAAATTAGTAATGCTCCGAGAGAAACCCTACTTTTTTACTGCGGTTCTTGAGGTGAAAACGAGTATGGTCGGTTGACGGGAAATACGCAAAGGAGTAATGCAGATTTGGCACGGCTTGATTGTTTCCATCGGTTCGTAACGTCGGCAGCTCCTGGACTTAACGTGGAGCTGAGTATACTTTTCTCGAATAGGCTCACTCTGCTTTAATGAGAACACCTTAAGGAGACCGTAAAGTCATAGTGTGTTCCATCCTCTTTTATTCCGTATGGAGTGCGCCATACCAAAGACGCTATTCCACAGGGGCTGGTTTCAATACTTGCACCCGAGGTTCACCAACTCAGTTATAACTCCTTGCGTTTGACTGGAACGAGCTGCGTGGAGTCGGAAAGAGGTGGCTCCGCTTGCTCACGACACTTTGGCGTTCCCGTTCCTGAACAAGAATAAAGGTATTTTTGTATTTGCCAGATCCGGTCTACGCACCATAGCCGCGTGTAACAGCGTAACACAATATTTCGAGTCCATGCCAATATTAACGGCCTATTGCCGCGCGCGTAGCTGGCCAAGTAGGCAGCGCGCGCGTAACTTAACGGTTATCGCGAAAAAAAAAAAAAGCCTAACGGTTATCGCGCTTGCCTTCCACGCAGGAGGCCAGGGTTCGAATCCTGGCCGCGGCTACACATTTTTTTTGACACTGTATTGTGATGTTTTGGTGAAGTCGAGAACCGTCTTGCTGATTCGAGGTTAGAATGTTCTACGCGCCGAACCTTCTACGCCGAACAATCCAGAAACCCACGAGGGTACATAAGGGATTCCGCAAGGCGAGCGGAGTCAGTTTCGCCCCAGCGTTCGACTCTGCTGCTACGCCGACTTCGACGCCCACGACGCTCTGTTATAATCATTTGTACCCTTTTATTTTTGGCACAAGTTTGCCACATTAAACGTTTATTTCTTCTTGTTTATTTATTGTTTTTTTGGCCACCACCCGTGACATTTTGGTGGAGGTGCTGGGTAGCTCGAACACGATGCTGGGGTCGTACGACTCGCGGGCCTCGTCGAGGATCGTCTGGAAGATTTCGCACTGCACGTTCTCCTCAAGCTTCTTGCCGGTGTAACCGCGCGCCCGCAGTCTGTCGTACAGCGAGGCGTTGTCCGTCCGCAGAACGAACACCACGTCGAACCAACGCTTGGGGAAGAAGTCGCAGCCGTGGTAGTCGCCCAGGTTGCCGCCGGACGGTTGGGACAGCTTGTCGTCAAGCTCGTCGACCACCCTGTCTTCGTCGAGGACAGCGCAGTCGTATTTTTTGTCGTAGCCGTCGAAGAGATCGTTTTTCTTGGCGACTTGACCGACGTTGAGCCAGTCGAGGCCCGATCGCCGGGCGACTACGGAGGCGAGCGTCGACTTGCCCGTCCCCGGCGTGCCGGTGATCAGGATGTTGGGCAGGCCGCGACGAGCCATGAGCGCTGCGACGATGTTTTCCCGAGCGTGTAGGCCTAGCAGGGACTCGCTCTCCACGTGGGAGCTGAATGGACGCGAAGCGAACGTTCACTGCATCTGGGGAGAAAATGCGGCTGTTACGTTGGCTTCGCGAGTCGTCTGCGTGGAAAGGAGTCAACGGAGTTCGCTTCCACGTTCCTCGAGCGGCGCCACGGTCGGTGCCACACCAGCCATCGTCGCACCACGGCGTACCACCCGCAGACCAACGGGTTAACGGAGAGACTCAACAAGACCATCGCCGATATGATCTCCATGTAAGTCGACGTGGAGCACAAGACATGGGACGAGGTGTTGCCCTACGTCACATTTGCCTACAACACGGCCGTACAAGAGACCACCGGAGTGACACCCTTTCAACTGGTGCATGGGCGCAAGGTAACGACAATGCTGGACGCTATGTTACCCCACGAACCGGCTGTCGACACAAGCGACGACGCCCAGGTGGTTGCCCAAAAGGCAGAAGAAGTCCGTCAGCTCGCCAGACTCCGGATTAAGGCTCAACAACGAGTCGATTATAATGCAATTAAATTAAACGAGTCGACACTGGCCGCTACAACCTTCGTCGTCGGGACGTCCACTTCCAGCCCGGAGACAGGGTGTGGGTGTGAACACCGATTCGCCGCCGCGGTCTTAGCGAGACACTCCTGAAACGTTACTTTGGGCCCTACAAAGTGCTTCGTCGACTCGGGGATTTGAACTACGAGGTGATGCCCGACGGAACACGGACTTCGTCACGCCGCCTTCCACGGCCGGAAGTCGTCCACGTCGTGCGACTGAAGCCGTACTACGCTCGATAGGACTGTGCACCTCATGTGTTCCAAATGACTCCTTAGTTTACCGTTCTTTTTATTTGCTTTGTTTTGTTTTTGGGTTGCATCGGGACGATGCACTTTTTAAAGGGGGGAGTAATGCCGCGCGCGCAGCTGGCCAAGTAGGCAGCGCGCGCGTGGCCTAACGGTTATCGCGCTTGCCTTCCATGCAGAAGGCCAGGGTTCGATTCCTGGCCGCGGCTACACATTTTTGTTGATACTGTATTGTGATGTTCTGGTGAATTCGAGAACCGTCTTGCTGATTCGAGGTTCGAATGTTTTACGCGCCGAACCTTCTACGGCGAACGATCCAGAAACCCACGAGGGTACATAAGGGATTCCGCAAGGCGAACGGAGTCAGTTTCGCCCCAGCGTTCGACTCTGCTGCTACGCCGACTTCGACGCCCGCGACGCTCTGTTGTCATCTTTTGTACCCTTTTATTTTTGGCACAAGTTCGCTACATCAAACTTTTATTCCTTCTTGTTTATTTATTGTTTTTTTTGGCCACCACCCGAGTTATAAAAGATACGAGGAGAAACCGAGGTAAACGAGGAGACGAGGCCTCGCAGGGACGTCAGTACGTCGAGCTCTGGTTAGAATGATTAGTGGGTAGACCCAAAGTTAGCTGCCTTTGTCTCCACTGCACTCGTCGAATGCGTTGGAATGCGCAAGCTAAACGCCGGACGCTGGCGTGGCGCGTTCTATCGCGGTTTACGAGTGCAGTCTTGCGACAAGAATCTCCGCCTTCACCACGAGCCTCCTGGCTTCCACAGTGCTTTGGATCCGCGTGCCTGTGCTTTCTGATTTTGTGAACACACAAGAACCTTCGAAGAATATACATATTGCTTAATTACCCATGCACCAAGCAGATTGCAAGGATTGGTTTTCCGCTCGCCCCACGAACACGCCTTTTCCGCATAAAAGATTTGAAGAAAATAACGCAGAGAAAGCGTTGGCGAAAGCGCGTGAAATACGAAATTTGTATTTGAAAAGTTACTACTGCTGAGAGAAGCACGTGCGGCGCGTGGAACACCAATCCCTGCATACTTCTTGATGCTTGGTAAATTTGGCGATAGGTTTATTCAGCGTGCCTGCGTGTTTACGAGGACAAGTATACCACCTTCATTTCATCACCCGACCTCTTCTCTGCGCATGGGTAAAGACGAGAGCGCGGTTACGTGGTCAGATAAAGCCGCGTTACTGTTCCAACGAGGAAGTAGCTTCTACCGCACTGTCAGCTTAGGGGTGAAAGGCTTATAGGCTACGGGGTGAGGGGCACATCACCAGTGACGTCAACACAAATTAAAAACCGAGTCGGCCGGACAAGCAGATCCCCAGCCTTCTTGCTCTTTCGTCGAGCAAGGTCAAACCGTAAGCTTCGGCCATCGTGAACAGCCATCGACCTGAATAAATAGTTTATGCCAAATGCCTTGTCAAGGCCCCAGAACATGTCGGGCGTATCCTTGGCCTCGTCAAGTAAGAGTGTTTTTTGTAGTGAGAAAATAGGGGAATTGAGCAGAGCAAGTGCCCCTCGCGATTTGCCTCTCTGGCTTTTCATGTATCCTATAAATGATAAAAACATCTCTACGATGCAAGTTGGTTCGTAATTTATAAAATTAACCCGCCCTGCAATATAATACATCCCAGTCACCGACATTAATAAAAAAATAGGTTTAAAAAAGGTTAAAGGGAAAAATAACAAAGTCAGCTCCTCTCACAAAGCCCTCTCTCAAAGCAAAGTGTAAATTGGAAGGAGGGCATTGGTGTCACATCTTGTGCGGTTGGTGCAGAAGTTTCACATTTTATTAACCTGATGCATAGCTTTGGTCTCGCTCAAATTGTAAACGAACCTACATAATTAAATTCTGTTTTGGACCTTGTTTTCACCTCGAGTGCGGATAATGTGCGGTCAGTTCGTATTCTTGACAGAATCAACGATCATAACACGGTTTTAGTTGAAAGGTCTCTGCCATTAGTAACTAGACAGATAAGTCGATCCTAAACTGATCACTGTATACAGCAAGGTTAACGAATGTGCTCTAAACGAGGCTTTTGATCAGTTTGCTTCAGAATACGAACACCATTTTTTGTGAAAGATCTGTGGAGTCGAATCGGAAATTACTAAAAGTCGAGTTTAATTTGAGGCACAAATCGAGTTGAACTCTCGATTTGTGCCTCAAATTGTGTTAAAAGACGAATGCTGGTCAACCCTGGTTTACGAATACACTCAGAAAATTAAATAATAAAAAAGCGTCTCTTTGCCAAAGCTAAAAAAAAAAAAAAAAACCTTGTATATCTGCTATGTCAAAGTACTTGAACTGCTTTAAGAAATTCAGAAATAGCATAAAAATGCGAAGAACAAACACTTCAAGCAAGAACTGCTAAAATTATTCTTAACCAACCCTCGGAAATTTCGGAAAACAATATGTTCAAGAAACATGACTCTCTTCCTAAGATGAGCAACGATCTCAACGAAGTATTAACAAACCTTGAATCAGCTACCGTTTTTAACAACTATTTTTCGTCTGTGTTCACCGTAGAAGACTTACCAATACCCTGTGATCCAATTTGAAGTCTACTTAACATTTCGTGCGAACCTATTGTTTTTGACCAAAATGGTATCCCGAATGCAATCGAAAAACTCTCCGCAGCTCAGCCCCTGGCGACGATAATATTTGCCCTAATCTTCTAAAAATAACAAAGAACATATCATCTTATTTTCTCTGCGGACTATTTCAACAATCACTTGACTCGGCTACCCTCCCGGAGGACTGGAGATTCGGGAGAGTTCTACCTATTTTTAAATCCGGAAACAAGCAGGACTACTCGAATTATAGACCTATATCGCTGACATGTGTGCCATGCAAAATTTTGAACATGTCGTCAACTACCACATCATGAACTATTTGTCTAAAAATGAATTAATATGCAAAAATTAACATGGTTTCAGGTCGGGATATTCATGCGGAACCCAGCTTTTTGAGTTTGTAACCGATTTCCATGACAACTTTCATACCTCTAAACGAACTGATGCCATCTTCATCGATTTCTCTAAAGCATTTAACACGGCTCCTCACCAGCGACTTCTATACAAACTTTCTGAACTTAACATCCATCCATTTATTATACTCTGGATAGCTGAATTTTCAACTAACCGTAAGCAAGCTCTTCACCTTATGCATGCCAGATCAACAGGCCTCCCTGTGCTGTCGGGCGTCCCCCAGGGCAGCGTTCTCGGCCCGCTTTTATTTCTTATGTATATTAACGATCTCCCTCACCCTATAACATCATCTATTAGGCTTTTCGCGGATGATTGCGTAATTTACCGTCGCATCACTAACTCCGAAGATTCAATACTAAATGTTCTGTCTCATCGGTGTAACACGTGGTAGTACAGGCGGGGTCTAATATCAGTGGAAATTTGAATTATTTTGTCCTTACCTTTAGACTGAGTTTCTGTCACATGATTGAGTAATCTTGTGGGTTGGGCAGTTAGGTACGTCTTTTCTTGTTTATGGCAGCATTAAGATATACTTCTACACCCTTCCAGTGAAATAAACTGAAGGAAAAACTTTTTGAGTCCCTTAGGTAATTAATGTAAATCAATGCCAACTTGTGCAGTTACTGAGCTACCATTAACTGCACATTAAGCTAAAATATATATTGTGTTACGACATGCACGCGTATTCGCCCAGCTGTTGTATGCGAAGAAAGGCCTCTAATTTAATTCACTTGTGAGGAAACAAACAGAAGTTACTGTTAACACCTGTCCGTCAAAGTATGGACTGGCAATTTAAAAAAAAATAAGCTTTCAACATTTTTGTTACTACGGCCAAGTATTACGTGAAATTCAAACTCAAGGCCAGTTTGTCAATGGAGTTTCCAGGTGCAGGCATGACCTACATTTCATATATGTATAAATATATTCTTTTTTTAATATTCTATCTACAATTTTTTTTTTTTTACATCAAGAAATGAGGAAAACGAAGAACGTTAATATGTTGAAAACAGTTTTGTTTTCGCCTGGAGGTCATCAGTGACGCACGCCAGTCATTAAAAATAATGTTCTAGCACAAAACGCATCTGTCTAGACCTTTGGGCGTTTTTCGCAGGGATATATGTAGGCACTTCTGCGTCCCTGTCATCCAGAGCTCACC